TGTACTCGCTGCCCCTGGGCCTTGCCAAACGAACATTTTCTTTGTGCCACCGCCGCTCTGTACCGTATGATGCACGCGACACACAAAGCTTTAAAGGCCAAAAAAAAAGCTCTTTGTCACATTTTAAATGTACACAATTTGGTTTTCTCTTCTGAATTATATTCCGGAAAGTATACAGGGCGATACAGGCGATACTCATCACCGAATGGATTGGTTTTTAGAACATTTATTTGGTTATTTCTGGTGGTCCCGCTTTCATCACAGGAATAGGAATTTCCCCACTCGCCATTACTTTCACTCACAGACACGAGTACCATTACAAGCATATCACCCACACACACCCATGCGCCTTCGATTATTTCACTTTCGTCGCAGAATTTGCTCCACAAACCTGCTTTCTCGCTTGCACGAAATTTCCCATAACAATTGCAATTGTTTCTGTTGATGCATTGTTCTTGGTCCAAGGCACTGGGAAAACGTTGTAGCAGTACCTTTGCTGCAGGTGTGCGAATGTCTGCGTAGTGGGGTATAAGCCGGACTATGAACAACAACAACAACTAACGTTTATGGTTCACTAAAAGATAACTCTAGAGTTCATTTCGTCCAGGCTTATCATTTTTGTGCACTACATTGACTATTGCAGTGCTGCTGTTGTCTTGTTTAGACAGTGCTTAAATATTTTGAGCGCAAGCTTCCCGGCCGTCATCGTAGGGACTTTTTCTCTCTTGCTGTTGCGCTCTGCCTTTTGGCATTTGGCCGATTCGGCGCCATTGCTTCGAGTTTTATGAATGAAGAAGCTTTCTTGCCGTGCAGCAATAGGCAAAAGTCCCCCATAGGGAATATTGTCAACAGGGAAATTTTCCACTGTTCCCAAGTGTCTGCCGGTCTGTCCAACAAAATTAATAACAATTCGTTTTGCACAGTTAATTTACTATGAAACAAAAGCCAATTTACAGGGAATCTCCTGGGCGACATCTAACCACTAATGGGTACCTTGTGTAGTAATTAACTCGTAGCTTAGTCAAGGTCGCACGAAAAGCAGTTCTACATAATTTCCCTTCGGGTCGAAACTAAACCCGTAAACCCGTAATTAAGCCCAACAGAAAGGGAAAGAGAGAAAGGGAGAGGGAATGGAAAGATAACTTGGCGCAGGCGTCATGAGCTTTCCACACACTAAACTCTAACGAAATCTGTTGCATAGTGCTGAGGGCTTGGCAGCGCGACAGGCAGGCTGCCACGACTCTGACTCTGACTTCGATTTCCACCATTAATGCGGCTAATTACCATTTTTAGTCAGAACACCAGAGCAATGGGTGTCAGGGAATGTGTCATGCCATGTGCCGGGCGACGCCTGCAGTAGGAGGTGGAGTTGTAGTCACACCCCAGTCCAAACGTGTCCGTGAATGCTGCTGCTAACAATTGCGCAAAGACCTGTGAGGGAGTGGGAAAGTACTAATGTAATATATACACGCGCGACTTCGGACAGAACAGTTCAGACTGCAAGAAGACCTTTAATTTGTTCATAGCCATCCCGTTAATGGCGAAACCTATGAAACTGGTTCACGGAGAAAAGCGAGAGTTCAACGCTCGCCCAAAACTCGCTCCGTATCAAAACAGAAACCCAAACAGAACAAAACAACTTCAGCTTCTCAACGAAAACGAAAGTCGACGTTCCGACCACAAGTGGTTTCAGTCGGTGGGAGAGAGAAAAGTGTGTGGCAGGTCATCGATGTTGAGTCGATTATGAAATCTGACACACTTACTAGCAAGGGAACTGAGAAATGGAAATGGAAATGCCGAGCACTTATTACCACAGGTTTTTATGTGTTTATTGAGTGTTGTGGGGCAAGGCAATATCCAGCTTAGGGCACTAGCGGGGGGAAAACCTTGTGATATTATCGGCCATCCATTCGCCTGTTTTGTGATAAGCGACATCGCCTGATTTTCCATTGAAATGGAATTTCCGTGCAGTAAAATACAAGCAATCAGAATATCAGCGCGCATGTCTGTCATCAAATGATCCCCAAATTGCTCGATAGACGGGGACGTATCACAATTAAAGCTAATTCTAAACCGTATTTCGCTGGCACGCTGGCCGTCCAGTGAAGTAATTCATGGCTATACAATATATGATGATAAGCAGGTGCCACTACACACTACTACCCTTTATCAGGGAGCGCACTTACCGTGAAGATACTGCCGCTCTTGTGGGCACGATTCCGTATGACCAGGCCCGCCAAGGGCTTCTTTACATAGATCTTGGGCATCTCGGTGGCAACTTTTGCGGCTACGTGGCTCTATCGCCCAGAAAGTTCTTAAATTTTAATGTTTGCACTGGGCACAACACAACGCCGCGCGTCGTCAGTTGGTGGGGTGGAGTGTGTGTTGTGGGTGGGGGTATAGTTGATTAGCTCTCTTTTTGGCCTTCGCTGCAGTCGGAGGCGACTGTTTATTGAATGTTTGGGCAATTTGCATGCATCACTGTTTAGTATATTATTTGTAGACGCGATTGTGTTCTTCTCTATCCTTTATACAGGCTCCAGGCGCGCTCGATTATGGTGATGCATTGGCTCTGGGCACTGGCGCTCGGGCTGGGGCTGGGATTGGTGTCGTACGCTTTGGGGGCATGCTTGCCTCTTGATTTATGGATACACAATCGATCGCATCTGACTAGCAGCACCTGGACACGACGCTCGGTTTAGTTAATTTACTTTAATTTCACTGAACTGAAAATTTAATGCGTTCCACGGGCCGAAATGGAGATAGATGCGTTTTTGGTGCTAAAAAATGCCGCGGAAGGCGCTGTCAACATGTGTTCTAGGGTTGCCATCGCATCGCAGTGCAATCGCAATCGCTAGAATCATCGTTGTCGCATCTCTAACAAAATTTTCCGCAGAGGCTCTTCTTCTTCCTTTTTGCGGAAAATATTTTTCTCTTCTTCTTCCATTTTGCGGAAAATATTTTTGTCTTCTTCTTCCTATTTGGGGAAAATTTAGCTTCTTCTGCTTTGTTGCCTACTTTTTTTAGGGCTGCCAGATCGGTTCAAAGCCAATCGATAATGAAACGGGTAGCAAAATTGTACGAGTCTGGCAACGCCACAAAACGACGTCACATTAGAGCTGGTTGTGTTTTAGGACGAAGACATCGATTATAATCGATTATCGACATAAAATATACAAAAATCATAGGCTGTTTACATTGGGGCTGCGTCATGCTTCTTTGCGCTGCCGGCGCGTTTTTACATAGGTTAAGCATAGGGCCCTAGTGGTGGCAAAAAGTTGCGTCAGTTTCTGATTCATGTGCGTCATTCGATATATTCGATTGCTTTGCTCATTTTTGGGTTTTCTGCCTATCAGCGCAACTATCCCACTAATAACAACAAAAATTGTAGATCAAAAATCAAATTTTGGCGCTAAAAATGTATGATTGTGCAAAAAGGTGAAAATATACATAAAGTCATTAAATAAAATACTGAAACTGATTGTATTATTATCATATGAAATTTTTCTACCCCCTGATGCCATTAAGACACTGCTGGAGACGAACTTCGGTGGTTTCCATAATTTGAAGAAGAACTCCCACAAACTTACAATGAAATGTCTAAAATAATATTTAAATATGAGAATCAATTCTTTTTCGTCCATTTCCTACGTCTGCTTAATTCTGTTGATTTTCAAAATTTGTGTATCTTCCTGAATCAAACACCCAAATCCAAATAAGCGCACGTCTTCCAATGTAAACGCCTTTTCTGCTTCATTGCGTCTATGCCGATATCGATAGCAGACGCGCCCAGTGTAAAAAGGCTATTAGTTTGCGGCTTATAGGCTGTTTACATTGGGACTGCGTCATGCTTCTTTGCGTCTTGGCGACGACGCAGTTTTTTTTACATAGGTTAAGCATAGGGTGGTGGTGGCAAAAAGTTGCGTCGGTCTCTGATTCATGTGCGTCATTCGTATATTCTTGCTTTTGCGCTTAACTGCACTTTTGCCTTCGCCAGCGCAACAATCACCTCTAAGAACAACAAAACTTGTAGTTAAAAAATCAAATTTTGGCGCTAAAGTGAATGGTTGTGCAAAAGGTGAAAATATACATAAAATCATGAAATAAAATACTTGAAACTGATTTTATTATTATCATACGACATTTTTGTGATCCCCTAATGCCATTATGACACTGCTGGAGACGAACTTCGATGGTTTTCATAATTTAAGAGAACTCGCACAAGCTTACAAAGAATGTCTAAAATAATAAATATATATAAGAATCTATTCTCTTTCGTCCATTTACTTGTCGTCTGCATAATTCTGTTGATTTCAAAATTTGTTTACTCCGCATCAAGCACCCAAAACAAAATTCAAGCGCACGTCTGCCATGTAAACGCCTTTTCTGCTTCATTGCGTCTATTCCGATATCGATAGCAGACGCGCCCAGTGTAAAAAGGCTATTAAATTTTTAATTGAGATCTGATAGGAAGCTGTTTTTGTTGATTTTAGGTTTTAGCGAGGTCCTTTTTGGGTCGCTTGGGACTAGATATGATGTCTTCTTCGTTATTTCCAACGTCGTCCAATACAGTTGCTGTTACTGTTTTAAAGGAATTAGTTTAAAATAGTTAATTTGATAATTTTTACACATTTAAATACATACATATGTAAACAAGTATGCGAAAAAGTGAGAATTTATATACATGCATGTATACAAATTTATTCGCATACGTGTGCACATTGTACAAAATTAACTGTATTTTATTGTACTTACTTTTTACAAACTTGTCCATGGCGCAACCACGATCCACGCCAACACCACAAATTATTATCTATTAAAGTAAGTAGAATAGATTAATTGTTGTAAGAAAATTCTGTCTTCGGTTGTAAGTGACGATAGTCGATGTTTGCAGAAAAACTCGATGCTAACATTTTTGGGAACATCGATACTACGATGTTACATCGATGTTTTTCCAGCTCTAATTCCTATGTTGATTTTGTTTGAACCTTAAAATGTAAATAATCCAATAAAAAGGACTTCTGAAAACTTGCCAATTTTGTAGGAATCTTACCGCTCCAACCCGAACTTTAATCGAAACCTCCTCTCTTGCAGATTTCTTTGTTCTCTTCCGACAAATGGTTCGTATTTTGTTTCTTCATCCCGATCTGGGGATTGGTGGGGCCGAGCGGCTGGTTGTGGACGCCGCCCTGGCCCTCAAGGAGCGCGGTCACGAGCTCAGCTTCCTGACAAATCACCATGACAGCACCCATTGCTTCAAGGAGACCGCCGATGGCAGCTTCCCCGTACAGGTCGTGGGCGACTGGCTGCCACGAAAGCTCTTTGGCCGTTTCTATGCCTTCTGTGCGTACATCCGTATGCTGTATGCCGCCTTCTATGCCAGCTTCTTTATGCCCCAGCGCGAGAAGGTGGATGTGGTGTTCTGCGATCTGATCTCCGTTTGTGTGCCTGTTCTGCGTCTGGCCCGTCACCGGCCGCGTGTGATCTTCTATTGCCACTTTCCCGATCAGCTGCTCAGCGCCAGGGAGGGACTGCTGAAGCGCGTTTATCGTGCTCCCATCAACTGGCTGGAGGAGCAAACCGTGGGGCTGGCGGACAAAGTGCTGGTGAATTCCAAGTTCACGCTGCGCGTATTCCAGGACACATTCCGGCGGCTGAGAACCGTGCCCGACGTTCTCTATCCCTCCATTCACACGCAGTACTTTGACCAGATGGAACAGAAGCTGCAGCAGCGCTCCACCCTCTTGGATGAGACCGTCCATCCGCGGGTGCCGCGCAACGCTTTCATCTATCTGGACATCAATCGCTACGAACGGAAGAAAAACCACGCCCTGGCCCTGAAGTCGCTGCGTCTGATGGGTGACACGCTCTCAACGGCGGATTTCAAGCGCTGTCGCCTGATCATTGCCGGCGGCTATGATACGCGCTGCCACGAGAATGTCGAGCACTATGCTGAGCTCGAGCAACTCACAACCGAGCTGGATCTACAGGAACATGTCATCCTGCTGCGCTCACCTACGGACGAGGAAAAGTGTCGCCTGCTCTATGCCGCCCACTGTCTGCTCTATACCCCGGCGAACGAGCACTTTGGCATTGTACCCCTGGAGGGCATGTATTTCTCCAAGCCGGTGGTGGCCCTCAACAGCGGTGGGCCCACGGAGACTGTGGTGCACAGTTCCACGGGCTTTCTGTGCGAGAAGCAGGCGAAGAGCTTTGGCAGCGCCATGTGCCAGTTGTTTCGCGACGAGCCGCTGCGCCTGAAGATGGGCGATCAGGGTCACAAGAGGGTGCAGCAAAAGTTCTCCTTTGCGGCCTTTGCGGATCGTTTGAATGGCATTGTTCAGGACTTGGTGCCAGCACAAAAGAAACTTGAATAAAATTCCAGACAAACTGCAATCCCAGAAGGTGTCCATATAGCCTTTTCCCGTTGCATTCCTCGCTAACATTTAATGTAGATTTATTCTTTATTTTGGGGGTTTCCTTTGGGTTTGGGGGGTATATAGTAGTTGTAGTTATTAGTGGGGGGAAAAGTAGGGAGGGAGGACTCTTGATTTGGGTTGAGATCTACTGGCTCGGACTAACTACTCATCGCGCATATAGAGATACAAGTAGCCGAGATCCTTGGGCGGATTCTGTGACTTGGCCACCTTGGTGTCATTGTAGATCACCCACTCGCCCTCCTTCCGGATGTGGCAGACATAGTGACCCACCTGGGCCGAGGTGCCCATGTGGGAGATGAATGCCACCAGCTTGTACTTGCCCCCGCCGTCGCGGTAGTTGCTCGCAGCAGAAGTGGAAGCACTAGCTGGAGCAGAGGTCGGCGGTGTCTCGTCCATGGGAATGCTGTCGGCGTGCGAGAAGATCCAGTCTGTGGCACGCTCCACATTACCATCGGTGGCCTTGAGTGCGGCCACCGCCTGACGTTCATCGAATCCCATGCTCATGAGCATGGCCAGGCTCTCCGGATTGGCCACAAACTGCTCAGCGGCGCAGTCGCCAATGCGATTGTTGGGCACCACAAACGGTTCCGCGATATCCTCGTCGGCAATGTGCTCCATTAGCCAGTTGGAGGCGGCCTCCAGGCCGGTGTTCTTGGTGTGGAAACAGGCCCGCTTGCAGGCCTCGTGGGGAAAGCCCATATTGAGCAGCTCCGACATGACCGCTTCGTCGAACGTGAATTTGGGCTGCTCGGAGGCCGGCTCGGGCAGTGGCTCCTCACCAGGCTGCAGGCCACCGCCGTTCGACTTCCAAGCGCTCAGATCCAGCTCATCAGGCATGTCCACAGAGACGTCCAGCTTCTTGGGCACCCAGTCGTCGCCCAGCGTGAATTTGCCGAGATGGATCATGAGGAAGTCGGGCATGGTGGCCATGCGTGTGGTCTTCTGGGCGTTCGTTTTGCCATTGATGGCCGTCGAGAAGAACTGCTCGATGAGCTCGGAGCCAAAGAAACGCTCCAGGCAGGCGTGCAGCGGCACCTTGTGACGGACAATGTCTCGATCGATGAGACGCTGTCCGCTCTCACGGGCTGCCTGCTCCCGCTCCTGGTACTCCCTGACCTCATCCAGATTGGTGGCCTTCTCCAGCGGTATGGGCAGCCGGAAGCTGTACTCCTCGCGCGTCTTGTACTTGACCTTGCGGCTGGCCAGGCACTCCACACGATCCTCCAGCAGGAACTTGAGAGCGTCCGCCGGATTCGATTGATTGCGCGAATTGCGATCGAGCAGTGTGAGCAGATGCAAATAGAAATCGTTGGCATCCTGCTGCTGCTTGGTGCTGAACTCCGGATGATTCTTGCCCACAATATGCTTGAACATGGCCGGCGATATGCCCGACATGTTCTCCGTGTCCAGTGTGTTCTCCACAATGCTGCTGTACTTGCCCGACTGCAGGCCGTTGCCCAGCTTGGCCATCTGAATGTTAAAGTCGTTGGCCGGATCGCTGGGGAACTCCTTGAAGTAGCGGTCTGCGCCGGTGCCGACGAACCGCTGCTGGAAGTCGGGTATGACAAAGAGCACCTGCATCACGCTGTTGATGTAGCAGCTGTTGCCCAGATTCCGCATGCCCGTGTAGCCCGGTCCGGCCAGTGGCTGCAGCTCACTATCGCTCTCCGTGAGGGCCGACCATTCGCCGATGCGCTGATTAATCTCCAGCTCCAGCTCGACCATCGATTTTTCGCTCTTCTTCATGGCCGCCATATTGATGCCAAAGTGGGAGAGATGCTTCTCCAAATGCGGATCAATGACCATTTCATCCTCCGGATAGGAGAACACATCTGACTTTCCATCGGCGGTGATGGTGCCCAGCTTGACGGCCAGCGGATAGTTGGTCACGCGATAGTGCTCCACAGCGTGTTCGTTGCCGCCGCTGCCATCGAAGAACTTGCGGCCGCAGAGTATGGAGCCGTCGGTTAGATTCAGCCACAGATTGTTGGTCAAATCACATTTCTCGCACTTCCAGCCGGATGGTGGAATCCTTTTGCCGTTGTTCAGCTGCTGAAGGTTTTCTGCATGCTTGGATGCCTGCCGGACTTCGCCATCCCATGTGCCTACACAAAAAGAAAAGGAAACCGATCTGCTCGTCAGAATAAAGTCTAGCAGGAAGCGTCTACACACTCACCCATCAGTGTGGCCTTCTCCAGCTTGGCAATGGCCGAATCCGCTGCCAGAATGGCCTCGACTGCCTGAGTTACGCGCATGGGCAGCTCGGGATCAGGAAAGGGCAGCTTCTTGTCCAGCTGGGGAGCCACCACAATGCTGTAGGTGTCCTTAATCTCATACTTTTTGGCCAAGTCAGTCTCATTGTAGCCTCCCTCCACACCGATCGCAAGGCGTGTGATCTTGCTCTCTGGCGGGGCTTCGGCAGCGGCCTCCTTCTCCTCCTGCTCTGCGCTCTCGCCCTCTTTTAGCGTCTTCTCTCGCTTGATGTGCAGGAAGACCGTGTTGCCAGTCTTGCTGGCATATTCGCGCACGTATGACTCGCCAAAACCGAGGAAACTCTGCAGGCACACGAAGAGGCCGGTGGGCGTCTCTGGATTGTCGTACGAATAGACGCACTCGTCTTTGTATACTGGCGGAGTGCTGGCGCCTGAGGCGCACAGCACATTGACCTTTGATAAATGCTTACGAAGTTCCTCCATATTCAATCTGGAATTTGTTTTTTTATTCACTAAATTGAAACTCGGAAACTAGAGGTGTCAAACCATCGAGGGAACTATCGATAGTATCGATATTTTACTGCTAGCCTCTACTATCGACGGTTTTGCGACTATCATGATAGTATCGAGCTACAGTCGTTGCGCTTTTGATATGTTTGGATTGGCTGCTATAAAATACGAAGACACATTTGTGGACAAATCGACAGGTGGCATCTAATTTTTACAATGGACAAGTTCCTAAAAGGTTTCAATGATTTTATTATAATTATTTGAGCCCGATACTATCACGATAGTATCGATTGTTTTTTCAAAACATTCAACGTTGATATTCCTCGATTTTGATATTCCGTTTAATATTACTAGCTAGCTGAGACTCTCAGCCGTAAACAAATAATTTTATCCAATTCCTCAATGAATTTTGTTTAGGATTGGCTAGTTGTCAGAACTATTTTTAATGGTATTGTTTAGTGAATAGGGTTCAAAAATAAATATTTTACTTGATTTGTTTTGTCAAGTGTGACTGGAACCTCAGAAACGTCATTTTCAAAATATACCGAGGAAAAAGCGAACTTAACCCACCAAACCCCGTCAACAAGGTTCTTAGTCGATAAAGTGCCGGGCGAACTGATTTTGTTCAATACTATCATCTCTACAGAAAGTGTAACAACAAAATTCGCGAGTCACCTAAGGAGCCAGTGCCGGAGAACTGAACCAGTTCCGAACAGTATGACCGCTTAACTTAACCCTCTACGGACCACGTGCCTTGGGCTCCAATCGGTATATATTTCGGAATATTTCTGAGGGTCACACTGAATAGAGGAAAAAAGAAGGAAAATAGAGCTGTCAAACGATTGATAGTTGAGCCATCGAAGGTTTTGAATATTTTGAAAAAAACAATCGATACTATCGTGATAGTATCAGGCTCAAATAATTATTAATTATTAAATTTTTTTTTGGTTGATATTTACTAGTTACTAACCTGATTAAATAGAGCGTGGTTAAGCTATTTTTTTTTTTCTGAGGTTCCAGTCACACTCGACAAAACAAATCAAGTGAACTATTTATTTTTCCATATATGTACATACATATATACATTTGAAAAGACCGCCAAACTCCTTTAGCGTACAAAAAATACTGACATTTTTCGCGAATTGAGAAATTCTTCAATTCAAAATTGGCTCTCTTTTTTGAGGTGAAGAGAGCGTTTTTGTGGTGACATTTCGTGGTGTGAGAAACATGTTCTTAACGGGAACGCGTATGGAATGAAGATTCATTGCTGCGACGTTCCATACGGTTCCCGTAAGATAAATTTGATTTGTATGGGAAAAAATTCGCATGTGGAAATGAAGAGGCAGCACTGTTGTGCAACTTTGGCACGAAATTAGCAACAATCTGCATACCTTGGGAAAATGGATATTATGTATACAGAACCAGTATAAATGTATTTATAACACACAAACATATGCATTAGGAGGTAAAAAACATGTCAATCTAGGATAATATCATAAATAATGTCTTCATGGAGCTTGTAACAAAACATTTAACACCAATTAAAAGAAATAAGGTATACAAAAGTACATACGCATAGAAGAAACTTGGTTGACCAGCAACACTGACGTCACATTTAGTAAACATTTACGTTTGATGCTTTGGCCGTTTTTGTTTGAACCCCATTATCTAAACAATCCCATTAAAAATAGTTCTGAAAACTAACCAATCCTAAAAAAAATGTATTGAGGCCAACTATTAAACTGAATATCAAAATTGATATTGCAGCAACTACGAATTGCACGAGTCTGGCAGCGCCACAAAACGACGTCACATTCGTTTTATGTTGATTTTGTTTGATCTTTAGTATGTAAATAATCAAAAAAAAGGACTTCTGAAAACTTATCAATCTTGTAGAAAATGTATGTATCTATCGGATAAAATTATTTTTTTAGGGCTGAGAGTCCCAGCTAGCTAGTAATTTAAACCGGAATATCAAATTCGAGGAATATCAACGTTGAATGTTTTGAAAAAAACAGTCGATACTATCGTAATAGTATCGGGCTCAAATAATTATTAAAAAACCATTGAAACCTTTTAGGAACTTGTCCATTGTAAAAATTAGATGCCACCTGTCGATTTGTCTACAAATGTGTCTTCGTATTTTATAGCAGCCAATCCAAACATATCAAAAGCGCAACGACTGTAGCTCGATACTTTCATGATAGTCGCAAAACCGTCGATAGTAGAGGCTAGCAGTAAAATATCGATACTATCGATAGTGCCCTCGATGGTTTGACACCTCTAAAGGAAAACGTAAGAATTTTTCAAGTTAATTTTTCGTAAACAAATATATAGGAAAACGATGTAAAAAGTGTACAAGCAAATACAACAATTAATTGTGAACCGAAATCAATAAGGTTAAACAGTGTTCAAATGTTTTTAGATCGTTTTGCACGCGCATTATTTTCATAAAGGCGCGCGCCATTTTGTTTTTGGACTTTCTACCTCGCCGTCTCTGTTTTCATTTCTGCAAAATAATACAAAAAAACCCTGCCACAAACCCCACACGCAGCGTAGAAAACTCGAATAAAAAGCGACAAAGTACTCGGGCAATGAAAGTGGGAAAACATGTGGCAGTCATTGGTTTGGTTTGTGTATAAATTGTATACCTAAAATAACGCGCGACACCAACCACATAAATAAATGCCTCTGAAAATATCGATACGATGTCTAAACGAAGCGGAGGCAGCGATTAGTACGTCGGGCCGCTTTGTGTCGCTGTCGTTGTGTGGGTGGGATGAAGAGGGGGCCAGGCCAGTAGGAGCGGACGCGCTAATTACGTCATAAGAATCAAAGAAAATTCAAGGTCTGCGCCACAGCCACAGAGCCCAAACCAAAGGCTATTCGGTTTCGTTACGTTTCTCGGTTTTTATCAAAAATAAAACTTTTCGGCAGAAGAGCCAGTCAAAAGCAACAACAACAACAAGTACACACTGGTACTGGGACTGGTGCTGGGTTGGTTTTTCCTTCGTTTTCGCGACTGTATAATTACATACGAGCGCAGCGCGGCGCAGCTGTGATACACAGAAAGAGCAGGAAGGTGCCAGAATGACGAAGACGACGAAGAGAGAGCGCGCGCGGACAGACAAACGGAGACGGGGAGAGAAAACACAACAAAGTTGATGAAAATTTTAGATTTTGTGAAAAAAAAAATAAAAGGAAGATTGGAGTCCAGCTAATTTATTTTGGTGGCATTTTGCTCTTGTTTCATTTTAGTGATGTACGATGCGTGCGGCATAGAAGCTACAGAAAACCCACCACCCTGACCCCGAGCGCCAGCATACGATACACATACACACACACACACATGTACACAGAGGGCGAAAAGAATATTGTACATAATTTATAATTAAAAAAGTAAACGACGAAAATAACAACAACACGAGCGATCAGCAGCAGCAGTAGCAGCAGCAAAATAGAAAAGACAATAAAAAATACAAATCAATAAAGAGCGGCAAACTCACGGCGATAAAAGAGTGTTATCAGTGTGAACGAACGACAACGCAAAACAGATAGGAAGCAGACGTAAAGTGGCCGGAGACTCTTGTGGCCATCGGCCGCGGGCAGCGCTCCTCCTCTTCACTGTTGTTTGCCGCGCAGTGACGCAGGCATACGGCGGTGCGGTAGATCAGCGATATCAGGAGATATCAAAGCTTTTACCATGTCTGTGCAGCAGTTCTGCCTGCGGTGGAACAATCACCAGCCGAACTTCATATCGGTGTGCTCCTCGCTGCTGCACAATGGCACCCTGGTGGATGTCACCCTGGCCGCCGAGGGCCGTCAGCTGCAGGCCCATAAAATAGTACTGTCTGCGTGCAGTTCGTACTTTCAGGTGAGAAAAGACGACTGAAATACTGCCCCGAAAATATAACTAACTTCTGATTTAATTTCCTCTCTGATTAAGGCTCTATTCACGACGAATCCATGCCAGCATCCGATCGTTATACTGAAAGATGTTCAATATGATGATCTCAAGACGATGGTGGACTTTATGTATTACGGGGAGGTGAACGTGTCGCAGGAGCAGCTGCCGCACATACTCAAGACGGCGGAGATGCTCAAGATCAAGGGCCTGGCCGAAATGCCAACGGACCCGGCCAATCTCACCAAATCGGACAGCAAATCATCGACCGACGGCACAGAGCTGGTAGGTGGCGCTGGCTCCGGTGTGGCGGGAGCAGGAGGTACTTCCGCGGGCAGCCTGGGCGCTGCCAGTGGCAGCAGTGTGGGCGATTCGCTCTGGAGCAGCAGCGAGGCGCAGCAGTTCCAGCAGCAGCAGCAACAACAACAGCAGGCCCAGCAACAGCAGCAGCATCATCACCACCAGCAGCAGCAACACCAGCTCCAACAGCAGCAGGCGCAGCAACAACAGCAGCAGGCGCAACAACAGCAGCAGCAGCAACACCATCATCATCACCACCAGCATCAGCAGCAGCAGCAGCAACAACAGCAGGGCGGACAGACGCAGGCGCCGCAGACGCATCACCATCAAATGAGACGAACCCCCTCGCCGCTGAGCGCTGGCACCTCCCCAGCCACGCGGCGCAAGAGGCTGCGCAAATCCTCGAATAACGGTGAGTCCGAGTTGGGTAAAGCATCGTCGCAAGAGTTCCTTCAGTCCTTTTGGAGTCAGACGTGAGAGACTAACCATTCCATCCCCACATATATGCTGTAGGCTCTGGCGAACGCAACAACGCGGAGGAGCAGCACAACAGTTCTTTGGACGCCGGAAGTGCCGCTGCTAATGCGGGCCTCAGTCTCGCCCAGATGAGCCAAATGTCATTTGGCGGGGCGGCCAATACGGCAGCTGCATTGGGCAGTCTGGCCGGCCATTCGCTGCACGCGGCCAAGCTGCTGAAGGAGTCGGCGAGCAGTGAGCTGGAGCAACAGCCGCAGGACTCGGATCTGGACGACGGACACGGACACTTACATATGCAAATTGTAATGAAATTGGTCACGTTGCCCCCTTTACGCCCCCTTCGCCCTTTTGCAATCTTATTAATTTTTAATTCTTTTCTCTTGTGCTGCTGTGCCCAATGCAGAAGCCCGAAGTGGATATCGGCGGAGTGAACCAAACGATGCCCCTGGACATTTCCGGCGCCACCACACCATCCGAGCACGATGCGCCAAACTCTCAGTCCTCGCACTCGGGTAAGTTTTCACTCTGCAGAATCTGCACAAACACACAATAGGTGCCGCGCGCCGTCCACACACTTCTCCATCATACCCTCATGGCAGCAGCTCATGATTCATCGTGGTTTTCCAGCAGGGAAATGCAACTTCTTCAAGGTTCCCATGGTTTTTCGTTTGTTTCTTTTGCTTACCATCATTATTTCGTAATTTTGACACAAACACACAAGGCCAGAATGGACACGGGACTGAACAAAACTCATTTATAGAACGATGGGACATATAGGGAGAGTGATCTGAACGATTTACTCTGTTTCTTCAGCAATAAAATATTTTATAGAATTTATATTAAAGTAAATTAAACTGAGAACAAAGTCAATAGCAACAATAATCGGAAACTAGAATTCTAGCACACACATTCGTAGATGATTTGATACTCATATAAATACAATATTTCTTCCAATTATGGAATATTTCTAATCTGTTGTGATCTGAAATGAAGATTTGCAACATTTAAAACAAATTATAAAGTTTTTTTTTTGGCCAGTTTCTGTTTGTGTCATACGAATGTGTCCTTTCACCTAGGGGAAATTGTTGTACAGCGAATGTAAAATTCAGTGGAAGGAAAAAATGAAAGGGATAGGATATTATCAATAGAGGGTTTGGTTTGCTTGGAGGTTCTTTTCAATTGGGTCTGGCTTGGTAAGATCGATCACTCTCTCACTCTCTCCACCCATTTCACGTTCCTCTCGATCATATCTCACACACGCATTCCACACACGAACTGTTGTGGCTCATCCATCGACCATTTCAAACCAAACCATTTTCAGTACACAGCACAGCACTGCGCTCGGAGACATAATAATGCTAGAGCTAAGGCTGAATACTATACATATATGAGAACTAGCATACATTAAATTGATTGAGTACCGACTATCTGATCTCTGATTCGATTCAATTCGATTCGATTACTGATTATGATTCATTGCTTACCGACTAAGTGAAAGTGCAACGATATAACGACGACGTATCTGTAAATGTAGCTGTGAACGTGCGTGTGCCGCATTTGCCAAACATTTTGCTATGTTTTAAACAATAATTATTGTGTGTGTACTATTGTTGATTGTGTTCCAAACAAAAACTGAATCCTGCCTGAACTTGGGAATGGGAGAGAGCTAGCCACAGAGTCCAAAATAAAAAATAAAAAACAAACAAAAACCGATTAGAAATCTATCTAAAACCTATCGATATTGAAACTGTTTTGATTTTTTTTAATGGTTTATTCTTTCCATTTTGATTTTGAATTTTTGGGAAATACACTATGCCCTATGCCCCATGTCCCCACGCCCCTCCTTCTAACTTAGACTTAAACTCAGATTCAGATTATGAGCAGATCCTGTCCTATCCTGTTCCATGCGTAGGGAAAACAGTAACACTCCGGGATGACCAGATCTACAAGAGATTATGCAGGCGTGTTTTCAATTTCAATTCGAAATGTAACCCCCCTAGCCCCCAAAAGCAGAACGAACCGAACCCTCCCCCAGACAAAACAAATCTTTCATACGCTGTCTCTCTCTCCCCTTCCCAGGTCTGCAATGGACAGTTGTCGATTCAAACTATCCGCGCTTTTCCCTGCCCGCCTGCCAGTCCAACTTGATTGGGAATGGCAGCAGTGGCGGAGGCGGCGCCGGTGGCGGTGCCGGCAATCAGAGCAGTGCGAATAGTAGCGCCGGCGGCGGCAACGTAGGCGGTGGCGGCACCAACGAGCAGCGTCAGCAGCAACAGCACGAGGCACAGCAGCAGGCCACCCAGCAGCAGCATCTGCAGCAATTGCACTACCAGCAGCAGCAGCAACAGCAGCAGCAGGAGCAAGCGGCGGCGGCTGCCTCCGGTCAGGCGTACTCCTCCCAGATCATAACCGTCAACAACCTAGTCAGCGGATATGCGACGGCGGCCCAGAACCTATCCCCCACCTCGCCCAACGAGTCCAATATGGTCCAGTCTGTCTACAGTCAGGGTCCCACTCCCACCCAGTCGCCGGTGCATTCTGGTGTGACCGCGGCAGGCGCAGGCGGTGCAAGCGGAGGCACAGGAAGTGGCGGTGGCGGTGCCAACAGCAGTGGAGCGGCCAGCCAGGTGGTGAAGCGTAAGCGATCGGTGAATCCGCAAGGCGATGAGAACTTTATAAGGGCTCTGGAGGCGGTGCGCACGGGAGGAATTGGCTTCTGCAAGGCGGCACGACTGTACGGCGTGAACAATCGAACGCTGTGGCTCGAGTACAAGAAACGGGGCTACCCGGTGTCGCGGCCGAGCATAAAGGCGCGCGTGGTCAAGCAGGAGCCGAACCTCTCGCCGTCGCCAACACCATCTACGAATCCGGGCGACGACACAACGAATGAGACGCTCAATATGCAGATACCACCGCAGGCGGAAACCCCGACACCATCCCTGATGTGCACTCCTCACCACGGCAGCATCGGCAGCAGTGCGGGCACCTTGCCCAGCGGCGGCAACTCCCATCCGGCCATCGGGGTGATGAGCCTCTTCGATGCACGCTACATGGACTCGCCGGGAAATGTACACACCATGTCTCGGCAGCGGTATATCGACGCCACAGGCACTGGGGCGGGAGCAGCTGGAACGGGTGCGGGCACCATCAATGTCAATCCGACCACTGCAATGAATCTACAGAGTATTAACTTTAACTCAATATAGAATACGATTTCGAGTCATATGGGGGCCACAGCAGCAGCAGCAGCAGTAGGGGCAGGGACGGCCACTCTGCTGCAGGCAGCCGCTGTTATGGCCGCCAACGAGCCCGAAGCAATGAGCATATCAGCAATGCCAATGCCCGTTCCAGTGCCCGTCTCTGTTTCGGCCATGGGCATGGCCCACAGCTTTCTGATTAACAATTTCGTAACGGTGGCGGGACCACCAGTGGCCACGGTGAGCAGTACGCTTGGGCCGCTGGTAAACACCGGCCTGCAATACATGGATAAACCATAAAATTTAAAGGGATTAAGGGCGATCCAGATCCCGATCCCCCCCCTCACCTCCCAAAATCGATACAATACAGGTATTAGAGAAATGGCAGCAAAATCCCTCTAGTGTATATATAGCAGACCGCTAAAACGGCAGAGTGGCAATATCACATAATGTCGGGCGTTGGAACCCGCGGCAACCGTTGGAACCCACTGAAGGATGCACTGCGCTGCGCTGAGCTGAGCTGAGACGAACGCAGAGCAGAGGCGGAGCAGAAACGAAGGCGGAGAAGGGAGACAACGGCCGCACTTGTAATAATTGTCATAGAACGTAATTCCTTAAGCTTAAAGTTTTACACCCATACCCTCCCCCACACCCCCTTACATTTTTACGATTGTTAACTAAGGAAAAAAACAAGTAATCGGTAGTACAGATCCATCTATATAGTTATATTATATATATATGTATATGTAAAACAAACAAACAAAAAATATGATAATTGTACATAAATTATGCAATTTTATTAGTCTTAAAATCCGAACATCCAACTGAAAGCGTCCTCCCATGGGATAGGTGCTGTGCCCAGTAGAGCCGAACATACCCATATCCTTTCTGCGAATACCCTGCTAAAACTATTCAATATACGGGGAACAGCTTCATTCCTCTTTCTATATTTTTTTTACATATTAACAAATGAGATTCATTTTGTATTAGAAATTCCTTCGGTACAGGGGCGCTTGGTATGGTTGGCTCTCTGGCGCATCAGAGATAAGTTTTCTTTCAACTTGTTGAATGAAATTTAACTTAGCACTTGTGTTACAGTAGCAAATATCAGTGTATAGGTACTCCTATATCCATTTACATTATATAATTGTATATATATACGATATAGCATACATTAGATATACATACAATAACGTTTTGTGTACAGTTGAGTGGCGAAAACAGAATCAACACTAACGCAAGCGTCAGTCGGTCGGTCCCAGACAGAGAGGATCTCTGCGATCGGTGGAGACGTACCGTATAATAGTTCTAAGCAAAATAAATCCACAGTTTATTGAACGATAGAGAGAAGAGCAAATGTAAGAGAATCGGATATGTATGATATACTTAATATGTACCACAACCACACCACTCAATATATATGTATATATATTTATATTTGTGAATGTAACCAAACAATTTTTTTATTTCTTCAACTTTGAACTCCTCGTCGAATGTGTCGGAAAGCATCAAAATGGAGAGCTTCCATTGGTCCTGGGCACCGGGTTTATTTTCTCACAAGACTCTACGCGACATATCCAATAGTGGGAGAGAGATGGGAGTTTTGGTGGGCGGCAATTTTCCATTTGTACATAGTTAGTGTGTAGCAAGCAGTAGTGTATGTATGTGTGTATGTACATATAGTAACTAAATCAGATCGGTTGAGAGTGACCCGTGACCATCTATGCAGGACTCGCAATAGACAAGCAACAAAACTTAAACAAATAAACTCGTAACCACCCAAGAAAATCCTAAATGGAGACTGCAGCTAAGGGCAAATAGTAGGCCAAACAAAAACCAGTAACAGAAAATACGATTCCACTACGGCTAGACCTAGACTACGGAATAAGTAGTATGGTTTTAAATACGACTCATATACATATTGTAACTAAATAGAAGAGATCTTTTTTATATATTGTGTCAAGGCATATACCTAAGGACTAAGGGCGTGATTTGTTAGAAGTCATACAAGTAAAAATAAACTTTGATAATGGACTTTTATTACACACACACACACCACAGACCACACACAAATGAACACTTAAGGACCGCAAAAGGAGAGACCACACACAAATACAGAAATCGAATGAAAATAGCAGAAACAAGAAAGAAAGAAACAAACAAACAAACAAGAAAAAACACAATTATAGTACATAATAACTAACTCTGTTTCCTATACAATTGCTATACAAAAAGTACCAATAACTACGCCTAGTCTAGTTATCTGTGTGTTAAATATATATATAAAAAATTTAATTTAAAATCCAGCATAAATCCAGTGCATAAACGAAACGAAACGATTGTATTATATGTATGTACCATACGTAAGTTGCATGTTGCATGCACCACATAACTTATGATGTACACACCCACATGTAAAACGAATCGAAATCGAATATCGAGTTGGAACGAACATGAAACATGAAACATTCTCTAGACTGTAGTCCCGATGCGTGTGTGTGCAAGAAACGAATAAACTTTCAAAACTACAACGTACCCGCCACCGCCGTACAATTTTCATTCTCTTTGCTCTGTCCGTAAATGGTATGACTCATTTTTTGCTCATTCTCTTCCACTCTTGCAGAGCCCAGTCCGGCACATGCGGCGCATCATCCACATCATCCCCCCTTGGCGGCCACCAGCAGCAGCAGCGGCGGCAGTGGCAGCTTTGAGCGGTCATTCAGCATTGGAGGACTGGGCGAAACTGATCCTGAGAACAATGCCAGCTCGCCGGTCATGATGGGCACCAAAAGGAATCGTGTGCTACGAGGCAGCCAAGGGTGAAGCGCGACAGCGACAGTCTCTCCTCGACCAACCAGATATCGCCGGACACGGCCGCCACAACGCTGGACTTTGATCCTTTCAATGCCGCTGGTGTCACAAGCGCCACAGCCAGGGATTATTCGACAACGGGCGCACATCATCTGCACCATCAACATCCGCATCAGCACCAGCAGCAGCAGCAGCAGCAGCATCATCACCAGCAGCCGCCACCGCATCACCACCATCACCTGCTGACGGTGCCAACTCGAAGCGAGCGGCATGCCTCTGAGCCGGCACCTAGTCTTGGTCCCTCCACACCGCACCTGCTCAGCGTGCCGTCCAGTACACCATATCTCATAAAGCAGCACTCGGATCCGCTCCTGCCGCGTCAGTCCGCACTGCACTCGGCCTCCGGCAGTTTGGCCGGCGGCACCAATCCGTTCGCTCCCTTGCACCGCCAATACTCGCATCCGCTGTCCGGCAGCAATGCCGGCTATGTGCCGCCAGCACCGCTTCACCATCCGCATCATATTTCGCTGCCCGAGTCTATCTACGCTTCGGGCTCACCGCCGCCGGCCGGCTCTTCGCAGTACATGGTACCCACGCGTGTCGTGGCCTGTCCGGTGTCCAGTGAGACGGCAGCCACACCCTCAATTGCAAGCTCCAATGCTACGTCGGCGACGGTGGGCGCCGTTTCCGTGGTCACCTCGCCGACAACCGCTAGCCTCAACAGCAGCCGGCATTCGTTTTCGCCCACATATGCGGGCAGCAGCTCGGAGACGGCTCCGCCAGAGCGACGCTCACCACACTCCCACTCGCCCACTGTCACCCATTCGCACTCGCTCGTGGAGCGGACATCGAAGGGCAGCGATGCTGCCAACGGATCTGGCGTTACGAAGCTGCGCAATTCCAAGTCTGTGACGGGGACGGGATCGAGCTCCCACCTACATCCCGGTCAGACGGCGATGAGCAGCTCGTTTGAGCACTTGCCCACGCTGCGGGTCAAGAACGAGGAACTACAGCGTTCGGTGTCTTCACCGCAGGTACGTCTCCTTCTCCTCCATCTGCCATTCAAAGATCCGTGTCCAATAATCACATTTTACTTCTCTCTCTCTGAAAGACCCAAAGGGAAATAATCACCCTGGAAAATCCGCGTTCTAGTCATTGCCCCGTCATCCGGCCGGGCCCGGCATTGGGGTGTAACTTCTGTTGGAACACCATCGATGGGCATGGCCGTATTTTGCGACGCAAAACGAAATACCATTGCCCCGAGTGTCAGACGAATTTATGCATTGTGCCCTGCTTCCAGGAGTATCACGAGCGGCTCAACAACGAAGCCGCCACCGTGGGGGCCAGCAACAGCAGTGGCCACGATAATCAGGTACACAGCAGCAGCACCGGCAGCAGCAGTGGCAGCGTCAAAGCCGCCTCTTATGTATCCGCCAGCAGCACCAGCAGCGGCAGTGGCAGCGGGACAGGCACAGGCGCGGCTCGGCATTACACCAAAACCGAATCGATATAATCTGCGCCAGGGGTAGCAGCAATTGTTGGCCCGCGTATTTGTATTTGTGGCACGACGGCCGTCACCCGATCATGGGCTACATATCGCATGTACCCAGACATCGGATCATCTAGGAGCCGTCGGTCAATTTGTTTTTCTTTGTAAGCAGGATGCTAGTTGTTCCGGCCGCACAGGCATATCGGGGGACACAGACACATCCTGCACCGAAAATTTTCATTTGTTGAGGCAGTGGCCCCGGAACCGAGGCACACCACAAAAAACCGAGGTGTATCCGGTGTCCGGAGCACATGGACTGCCCGAGAGCGCCCGCGAGCGCGTCCAGAAATTTGTTTTTGTAAGCCATGCGAAACGCATGCGCAGACGTTGTGTGTAACTCGTAAGTAAAACGAAAAGAAAACTTTTGTAGCAAATGGCCGGAAATTGTAGAACAGACGGACCGATCGCTAACCTTTTTTAAACAATCTGCTAACTGTAAAACTATATATATAAATGTGTGTGTACCTATTATGTTTATGTGTATGTTATTGTACAAACAAATACAACAAACAAAAAAAGAAAGAGAAAACAACAAAAATACATTAACTAAAATAAAACCAAACTAAACGCTGTCAGCGGTGGTGTCTGTCAGCCGCAACGACTTCTAAGAACTCGAAATTAACGATTAGGTTTTCAAAATACAAGTACAACAACTCCTACTACCCTACACCCCCCAATAAGAGCCACAGCCACAATACCATTGTGTCTATATGGTCTATACTTAAGTACGTCTCTGCTCCCTTTCCCCTTCATCAGATATATTGGATGATTATGCCCTGGGCACCGCTGCGCAGGCGCACGTTTGTCTACGAGTATATAAGGATGTATGTATGTATGCCCATTTCTCCTACACCCGACTCTAACCTACCCTACCCAGACGACACGACACTGTTTTACTAAATGTTTTATATAAATATATATATGTATGTATATGTACGTGTAGGCGATCCTGGATCCTCTTTGTGTGTGTGCAATGTACTACATGTCAATGGGAAATTGTCTAATTTTGTGTGTAAACTATAAAGAATACGAATATTAATAAATATATTTGTGACCCTTCTGGTTTTTCTCAATAAAACAACGATGCGTCGTACATTTTGATGGTCAAAACGAATTTCATTTAGAACGGATGATCAAGCCCGCTCATTCCCTACTGCACCAACAAGTGGCCTATGCTACTCGCGAATTGTTCCTTTGTATTACATATTTCATATATTTTTACTGATATCGTTTTATTAAGGCCTTCCTCTAATTACCATTTAACAAGCCACATTGGACACTCTACTTCTTGGCTGGCTGCGCCTGTGGTGGCACCACCTCGGGCGGCCCCCCCACCTGAGGGGGGATTAGATTTCATTTAGAACGGATGATAAGCCGCGGCAACGTGGCCTATGCCAGCGAATGGGCCTTTGTATTATATATTTTTAGACGTTAAACCTTCCGGAATTACCTTAACGCCATTGGACACTCTACTTCTTGGCTGGCTGCGCCTTTGGACACCACCTCTAGGGGGGAGCATTACGGAATGACGCCGCGCCAACGACGCGTTTCTTCTCATCATCGTAGCGCAGCTCCACGTAGCCGGACAGAGGGAAGTCGCGACGCTGGGGATGGCCCTCGAAGCCATAATCGGTTAGAATGCGACGCAAATCGGGATGATTGGCAAAGAACACGCCGTACATGTCCCAAATCTCACGCTCGTACCAGTTGGCTGCCTTGTGCACCTCGCAGGCAGAGTCCAGGGGCGTCAGCTCATCGGTGTAGGTCTTGACGCGAATACGGGAATTGTAGCGCAGCGACAGAAGGTTGTACACAACCTCGAAGCGATGCTTCCGGCAAGGCACATCCAAGCCGGCAATGTCGATCAGATTGGTGAACTGTGCCTGGTGGTGATCCTTCAGGAACTGCAGCACGGGCACCACGCCATCGGGGGCAATAAGCACCTCCAGCTCATCGCCGGCGGTCAGCTGAACCTTCTGCACGTACTTGGGTAGGCATTCGGCAACGTAGCGGCCGAAATCCGAGAGACTGGTGCGAGCGGCTGCATCCGGCTTTCGCACAGTGGCTACACATATCGGGCGGGATTCATTTTGAGATCTTGTCCATGGAAAATCAAGCCAAATGTTTACTCACGTTTCTCCGGTTTTTTGGCATCGACGGCCGCTGTGCTGGCGAAACGAAGAGCAGCTGTGCTAGCAGCGGGCAGCACTTAATTGGGAACGGGCAAAAATCAATTCGATTTGTGATGTGGGTTAGTTGTGGCTACTCACCATGCTTCGTCGCCAGAACGGCGTGAGCAGCTCTGGCACCCAGAGTCCTAATTATGGCTGCCATTAGCACGAATTGCTCGGTTTTAAGTTAAAATTTTGTTTTGCACTGACAGTTTATGCAATAGCCGGTGTGACCGCAAATTTATCAATAAAATATACCGCCTGACTCTCAGAAATATACCAAAATATACCTTCTCATTATCAACATATACCGTAAATATACTGATGGACACGACTATCTGTTATGCATTGATATTACTCGATTTTGATATTCGGCATAATATTACTAGCAAGCTAACACTCTCAGCGCTGAACATATAGCTTTATCCAATTAATCAAAAAGTTTTGTACAAGATTGGTTAGTTTTCAGAACCCTTTTTTATTGGATTGTTTACATAATAAGGTTCAAACAAAAACGGCCAAAGCATAAAACGTAAGTTTTTACCGGAATGTAACGTCATAGTTGCTTGTGAACCAAGTTTCTGCTATGCGTATGGCTTCTGTATACCTTATTTCCTTTAATTAATGTTAAATTTGTTGTTTCAAGATGTCTACGCACGCAAACTAAATAAATTCTGTCCATTTCCTTGCAGTTATTTATTGCAATACTATGCACGCACGCAAACTAGATAGATTAGTTAAATGAAATATAATATTTAAGACCACCATTTTTTTTACACACTCGACAACCCTAGGCTGTCCATTCTCTGTGGTTCACTTTCATGGCGTTTCGTTCGCGTCGTCGCGTTCTTTTCTCGTTCTTTCTCGTTTGCTGGAATTGCAAGAATTGAAATTAACACACTTTGAAACATTCAAAATAATTGGAATTTAAACACAACAAACAAAAATGGTAATTGGAACACGCTCGCTGCATTGTTTTTGTTTTTGAAATCAATTAATTGTGAATTTAAACGATATAGAATCACCTAAAATGGATGGGTCACTCGTCCACAATAATGGACCTACAACGCTCCCTGCGCAACGATATCCACACATGCGAGGTTGTGTTGGCCGCCAAAGACGGCTTCAGTGTACGCGCGCATTCCTTCGTGCTCAGCACATGCAGCGATCTGATGCGGAATCTCCTGGTGGATGTCCCGCCGGGCCATGAGGCCACCATAGTGCTGCCCGATATCCGAGGCGAACTGCTGGAAAGTATGTTGTCGTTCATCTACATGGGCGAAACAGGCCTGCCCTCGGTGCTGCTCACTGAGTTTCTGGAGGCCATCAACCTATTGGGCATCAAATCCGCCATTAGCTTCGAGTGCAATCCCTCCTCCAACGTGGACGTAGGCGCTGGCGCTTTGGCGGTGGAGGCAGCTAAATCAATCAGCGGCCTGCAAATCGCCCAAGCCGAGCTGATTGACGAAGAGGAGGAGGGACAGACACAGATGGGTGTGGCAGCCGCAGTCATGGCTGAAGAGCAGCCCCATCAGCCAGCAGCACACACCAGCCGTCCGCTGGAGTTTCTCGATGTGTACAACGAGACGCCAAAGATCACGTACTCCATTGAGCACATGGGTGGTCACTCGAACGGCAATCAGTTTATTCTAACTGAGAATACGGGAGCATTTACAATCACACAATCGGCGTCCAGTTTGTCCAAGCTGGAGACCTCCGAAAATGCGAACAGTGTCGGCGAGGTGGATATGGTGGAGGATGACGCGGAAGCGGATACCACCGAAGAGGAGCCGGAAACACAAATACTCGAGGAGGAATATCCCTCAGATCCATTGATTGAGATAAACGCCAGTGCAGATATGGACGACGATGAGATGCACGAGGATCTGGTGGATGAGGAGATGCTGGAAGTGAAGCCGCGCAAGCTGGCTGTGGCCAAGCCGAGAGGCCGACGCCCCAATCGGTCAAAGACTATGAAGCGACCGCCGCCCAGGCAGCAGCCACAGTTTCTCACCCTCAAACAAGAAGGCAAAGATGACATTAACGATGCTCTGGATCTCGCGGCTGACGCTGTAATCCTCGAGGGTCTGAGTCTGCAGAAGGCTGCCGATCGTTATGATATCTCGAAGACTGTTTTGTGGCGTCGTGTGCGCACCAATCCCGCATATATGCGAAGCAACCGCGAGAGGCCATCATTGTCTGAGGCGTACGAAAGACTTAAAACCGGCGACTCGCTCAAGAGCATCAGCCAGGATCTGGGCATACCCATGTCCACCCTACATCGACACAAAGTTCGACTGTCGGCGCAGGGTCGCCTGCCAGACTTTGTCGCCTGCCGCCGCCGTGACACTACCCCCAAGGACGAGCTTCGCGAGAAACTGGCCAAGGCCGTCCATGCCTGCCTCAAAGAGGGTATGTCGCAGAACCATGCGGCCAATCTGTTCGAGATACCCAAGAGCACGCTCTGGCGTCACCTACAGCGTCAAATGGCCCTCTCGGATCGTAAGGTAAAGAAGGAGGAACAGGATGACTATGATGAGGAGATTCTGAACTAGAGATAATGGAGGTTTAGATATCGTTTTAGAATGTACACCCTAGGCTACTACCAGCTAAGTAATTCCACATAAGTCTTAAAATAAAAATGGTTCAATCTCCTCGACCGTCGATCTGCTCAAATTTGGCGCGTAAATGTGCTCTCATCTCAGTTTGGCATCGATAGTCGATAGAATAGAACGACTATCGAGTGAAAGATGCCAAATGCCGGGCTGTTGAGCAGGTGCGAAATATTTGTTTATTTCGGGGTTTATATAGCTTATATTGTTGTTGGACTGTACAAAATCTATGAGCTACGTGACCGCATCGTTAAGGAGGCTCAGTTTCAGTTCTCGGATGGCTGGAACCTGCTGCCGTTCCTGCAGCGTCGCCGCGATGACAGCAACGACGAGTTGGAGAACTTTGGCGACTTTATCGCTCTGTTCTGGCCCTTCTACCTGTTGCACGCGATTGTGAACGGGGTGCTTAACTGGAAGTGGCCCCGTCTGCTGTGCCATGGATACGCTTCCGTGTGTGCCTTGGCCCTGGGCCTCAATCTACATTGGACATCGCTGGCGGTGCTGACTCTGCTGGTCGCCAGCTATTATCTGGTGTCTCTGATTGGCTCGAAGCGCCTGGTGTGGCTCCTCTCCGCCGGCTGGATCCTGTGCATCAATGTGATGAAAAACAACACCTGGTGGGTCGACCGCGTTGGCTATACGGAGTATGTAATGGTGATAGTCACGCTCTCTTGGAGTTTGCTGCGCGGCTGCAGCTTTGCGCTGGCGAGACTGGGCGCAAAGAAGGACGTGCCTACGTCAAGTTACGACTTGATCGAGTACCTGGGCTACGCCATGTACTTTCCATGCCTCACCTACGGACCCATCATCAGTTACCAGCGATTTGCAGCTCGTCGCCGGGGACAAAAGAATTGGCTGGCATTTGTTGGCGCAGTGGGACGCAGCGCTATCTGGTGGCTACTGATGCAGTGTGGACTGCACTTTTTCTACATACACTACATGGCGAGGGATGTGCGTATGGTGGCCATGATGGACTCTGTTTTCTGGCAGCACTCGGCGGGCTATTTCATGGGACAGTTCTTCTTCCTATACTACGTGGTAACCTATGGCCTGGGCATCGCCTTTGCGGTGCATGACGGTATCCCAGCGCCCAGTCGTCCGCGCTGCATTGGACGCATACACTTCTACTCGGACATGTGGAAGTACTTTGATGAAGGGGCTCTACGAGTTCCTTTTCAAGCACATCTATGCAGAGCTGTGTGGCAAACACTCTTCGCCAGCGCGAAAGTTCTGTGCCACTGCCTTGACGTTTGCGTTTGTCTTCGTTTGGCATGGCTGCTACACCTATGTCCTCATCTGGAGCATACTCAACTTCCTGTGCCTTGCCGCGGAGAAGCTCTACAAGACGCTGATTTCCATGCCGACCTACCAGACCTGGACACTTGGATACTTGGGCCCTGTGGGCGCTCAGAGACTGCATGCGATGCTGGCCACCCAGCTCTTTATTCCGGCAGCCTTCTCGAATGTGTACTTCATTGGGGGTCAGGAAATTGGCGACTTTCTGATGCGCGGCGCCTACTTAAGCGGTGTGGGCAACTATATGGCACTCTGCTTTTGCAGCTACTGCTTCTTTCAATGCTCCGAACTGCTGCTGGCCAAGTCAACGGCCCCCACAAAGCCCAAAACCAATTGATTCCAGTAGATCTAGAGAAAAAGTTGACAATATTTTGTAATAAAGCTTAGATATATTCATGGAATATACACTTGTCTAACGACATCTTGGCTCATCTGTCGTTCTCTTCGTTCTCCTGCCAGTCCAGCCATCGGGTCTGTGTATATGTGGACGTAAAGTTCTCCAGCAACTCGTCAAGCATCTCGTCGCAGGTTTGCGTATGCTGTGTATTGTACAGTCCATCATCCGGCCAATGGGTCTGGGTTTGTATGTGGGATAGACCCAGCTCCTCGAATAAATCATCACAGGTCTGGGTGTACATGTTGGCCGAAGTCTGTGCGCCAAACATCGGCTCGCTATCGGGAGGATAGGAGGTAAAGCCGTCACCGACTGAAATGGGCGCCGTGGGTACGGGCACTTGATCCTCCCAGTTGTCGTCTGGCGTTTGGGTTTCTATGTGGCCCACAGTGGTGGCGGCAGTTTGATCCTGAACTTCCGTCATCTCGGTCAACGTTTCTTCATCCCAGTTGTCGTCCGGCGTTTGGGTTTCAATGTGGCCAACTGAAGTGGCGGCAGTCTGTACCTGCACTGGCAGTTCCGTTGTCATTTCAGCCATCGTGCCCTGATACCAATTGTCCTCCGGCGTTTGGGTTTCCTGCACCACCGTTGCCGCTGCCATTGTCAAATCGGTTATGGTGCCCTGATCCCAGTTGTCTTCCGGCGTTTGGGTTTCTATGTTGCGCAGTGGAGGCACTAGTATCTCATTGGGATCTTCGAACTCTGTTTGAGTTTCCATGTCCAGTCTCTCCGGCTGTGAATCCTCTGGTAGCTGCAGCACACATTGAACGTCCATGGGTGGCACATACCAGACGAATGTTTGCTCTGCTTCCGCTGCATCCGTACAGCTCTCCGGCGTGGGAGGCATGGTGGGAAGTGTAGGTGGATTCTCATTGGTGGCGCTGATTTCCTGCAGCTTCTTCCACGTGCCGAGGGCAGGTATTGCTACCTTTCCGTCATTCTTGTCCAACAGATGATTCTTGCGCCTCATGTGGGTTCGCAGACCAGCCGCGCTGCTATATGTTAGCTGGCAGACGGGGCACTTGTGTTCCAAGCACTTGTGCCTGTCCAGGTCACGTTGGAGCAGAAACTTATCGCCACAGATAAGACATTTGTAGTTTTTGGCCAGGTGGATCTTCTGAAAGTGCTGCCGGACCAGGCGCAGGCTGGAGAAGCTTCTGCCCTCCACTCGACCGATTGCCGAGGCATGGTACCTGCACCGTTCCACTGGGCAGTAGAACACAGAAATGTTTGGCTTAGAAATTACCACTTTGTGCCGCTGCCGCAGGTGCAACTGGTAGTGGCTGTAGTTGCTGAAGACCTGGTCGCCACATTGTTCACAACGGTATTCGCGTTCCGGCAGCAACTCCGAAATGTTGGGCGTATATTTCATATGATAGCTGCGTTTCATTATTTCATTGATACCGATAACTGCGTTTCATTATTTCATTGATACCGATAACTGCGTTTCATTATTTCATTGATACCGATAACTGCGTTTCATTATTTCATTGATAGTTTCATTGATACCGATAACTCTACACGGTAACTACACTGTATATACTACACTACACACTTGCTACATATAAACTACATATTTCTGTAATTATAGCTATAAAAATAATAAATTAATTAACAACATGATATTTATAGTTTTTATTCTAGCTATTATTTACTTAATTTAAAATAAATCTCTTTTTTTTTTCAAAATATTTGCAGCCCTGCGATTTGTGTCGTTGTGTCGTTAGCCAGCACATGCATTTTACAACACTAGTTATATGTTAAACGCTGTTGCTTGCAATTTCTTCGAGGTAAAATCGGGTTCAAAACCAAAAATGTGCAAATAAATGTGTTTCCGTGGCAACGGAAAAGCAATTAAATTAAATTTGCCAAAACAAGGGCTTTAAAAATAAAGGGAACTGCATACAGATCGCTAAATTGGCAAATGTACAAATATTTAGATTTACAAGCATACATATACCCATACCAATACAGTGATCTGCTTCGAACCAATAATAACAAGAGTGTGTGTGTGTGTTGTGTTTGTGTGTGCCCGCGTACAAAAATATACATTAAAAATTAGCACAAATTAAAGTTGGCTGGCGTCACTATAGACGGTGGTTGGGGAGGGGTGGAAGTATATGACTTAGTAATCCAAGGCTCTCAAGGTGCAATAAAACATATACTATAAGAGAGTGTACAAGTGTTATAGCTGCAACGACACGCGAGCCCTTTCCCTTTCCATGCCAACACCAGCCCAAGCAAATGGCAAAGAATGTGGCAATGCTGTCTATCAACACACCCAGAGCCGCCTTCTTTCTTGTTCTACTCTCCCGCCCCCTGACCCTCACACTGTGTCTATTCTTGGCGCGACTACGTCATCTGTAGCATCAGCAACATCTGTTCCGAAGATAGTGTGTTTCAGTTCGGGAGGTAGGGAGAGAAGAGAGGTAGGGAGCCACATATAATACCAATCGAGTTGGTGTTGCTTGCTCAACTGTTGATGCTCTAAAGGGCGGACGGCAAGGTCGTCCATACACAAACACACCCACAGACAGCTCCCCGTACTCCATTTAAAGTAATTTCATTCTGTGCAATTTGTCATCCATTTAATTATAATTTCCATCAATTATCTTTGGCCTGTAAGTGGACAGCAGATTATTTAATAGAGTCCCATGTCCATCCATTTCCCATAGTTCCCATAGGGCATGGCCTGGTTGTGCTATTAGCCATAAAAACAACACGTAAGCAGCGTCTGAAATTAACACAAATGCTAAAATTAAATACACATTAAGGCCTTTTTCATATCCCATCCGATTGAGAAACAGAGAAAGAAACGTTGATGCAAAGACCTTGTACATAAACAGAGAGCAAACAGAATTTAATTAAAATATACCCTAGAAGAGGGTATTATAGTTCTGTCTCGATTAATGATCAAATGTTACCTAAAACTGAAAAATATTCCATTAAAGGTGAGCTGAGAGCTATTTTCGGGGCTTTAATCTTCTATTATCTGGTACAAGTTCTGGTAATTGAGCTCAAGCTTGCGCTTAAATATCATGAGGTTATCGCATTTCCAAGGCAAAGATTCATCTAAGCTTTGTGATAATGAATGAAACTGAGACTCAGACTGAGAGCTGACGTAAGCATTAGCTGCAACTGCTTGTTGTTGGCTGTGATGTCTTTCCAGATAGTAGCCGCCCCTAAAATAGGCTTGCCAAAAGGGAGTAACAATCATGAAATTTGAATTGATTCATTCAGTTTTCATTGACTGGCAACCGCATTGTGGATCGCCCACACATATCATACAGAAATCAGCATTGAATGAATGGTGGTTGGCAGCAGGTTGTGGTTGGGCGTTCTGGCCATGTTATGAGTATCTGGTTTACAGCATTGCATTACTTCCGTCTGTATGTACATACATTTGGAATTGCACCACAGCACCCAGTGTGATTGACTGGTGAAAGTTGGCAGAGACACTGTCTGAGGGGCCAAACGGCGGAGAGGCTTTTGTCTTGAGTGATCGTGTCAAACCCATTTGCCATATCTTATCAGCCCTTGTCCCGCCACCAGAGCCCGTACCGACAGTGGCAAGTTCCGATTGATGATTGCCCTCAATTGCATGTCTGTCCGTGGAATTTCAATTGCTAATTGACAGAGCTACATAAGAGGCAGGGTATGGGTATTGCGCAGTCGACGCATGTCGGAGGTTTTGTACTGAAAGAGAATCGCATTTTCGTTGTGCCCTCACTCTCTGTGAATATTCCATTAGAATGCGTGCCAAAAGACGAAACGCGTGACTCATGACTCGAGCAGTGGATGCTGCGGTGCTATTTTCAGCTACAAATATTTTCGTCTGTTTACCTGACGCGCGAATTATCCACTAAAATGAACCTGAAACCTTCTTACTTGCAGTGTTATTTCTCCGCTAAGTGCATTTACTAGCCTAACATAATGAGCAAGTCGACGGGCAATGCACCACCGCAGTTCACGTATGTGCCGCCACCATCGGCACCGCCGTCCTACCAGGAGGCTGTGGGCGGCGTCAAGCCAGTGGGTCCGTATACGCCCGTATTGGCGCCCGCTACCGCTGGAAATGCAACAATTGTGACCACAGTGGTACCCATTAGCCGCACATCGACGCATATGATTTGTCCGTCATGCCATGCCGAGATTGAGACGACCACACGCACCGAGCCCGGCATGATTGCCTATTTGTCTGGCTTTGTGATTGCATTGCTTGGGTAAGTGCGCTGCTCATTGTAAAGCTTTTGAACTGCTGCTCAGTGCCTTTATTTCTGATTTTAGTTGCTGGCTGGGATGCTGCCTGATACCTTGCTGCATTGACGACTGCATGGATGTCCATCACACGTGCCCCAATTGCAAGGCGTATTTGGGACGCTTCCGTCGATAGGCGAGAGTGCTTTTAATTTAAGCAAGCGTTTTTGCCTTTATTTATTTAATTGTAGTAATGTCATTTGGATTCCACAAGCGGAAGCGGATGTAACGAAATGAAACGAAACGAGCCAATGCTTCCCTTTAATCACACGCTAATACTTGCTAAATTGCTCAAATGCATCCTTAACGACAATTTCTTTCTTGTTTGCTAGTAATCAAATGTTTTTGATGCCACGCCCACACACGCGAATGATAGCTTTAAAAACAACATATATATGTGTATATATTGAAAGCTGCTCCACATCCAATACAAAATCCAACGAATCTGCAGCTGCCTCCTTTTGCACAAAATGCTAAATTTAATATACATACATATAAATTCAGTTTCTGTTATGGAACCAAACAAATGACACAAGTACATCCACGTATATTGTATGTAATAGAGTTTATTAATTTTAACGAAAGACAAATTGCAATACAAGATATTTTTGTAAATGTTTGTAAACGGTCTTTGGCGGTCTATATATGGTAAATGGCTACATTTATGTACATCAGATATACAACACCCAAGCTCTAAATAATTGACTTTTTATCTATTAAATAAAACATTAAATGTGACTAAAAATTTCCATAATTAAATAATACATTTGAACATGTATGTTGAACGTTAAAGGGCGGGCGAGTACAGCAGCAGCAGAGATTTGACTTCACTTAATCCTCGCCTTCAGCTGCTATGATTTTCATTAGCTTCATGCGTAGAGCGCGGCGTTTGCTGGGATTTTCAATTTGTTCCATTTCGGCTTTTATTAGCTCTCCAAATGCCTCCACGTCTGCTTTGAATTTGCGTTTGTTGCTCGTTGGACCATCGTCCAAGGAGTCCAACAGCGGATCGATCGAGGGCATGGACGCACTCTGTGAATCGCTTAAATAACATGGCACCTCTGTGTCAGTTTCAGCTTGCGTCTGATGCTGTAGTATAAATAATACATTTGGAACACATACGATTGAGACGAGCATTATTTTACTCACATTCAAGTCGCTGTCTAGAGTTAACTTAAGAAATGGCTTGAGGAACGTCATGTATGGCACCCAGAAAGGTGTCGAATTATTGGGCATGATCTCCTTCTGCTTCAAATAACAAAGATATTGGCTCCGCAATGCGACAATTTTGCTGTTAATGTCTGCTATGTCTATGCGGTCGTATATTTTTCTCATTTCCTTAACAATCTGCTGAAAAGAATTGGCCCGCAAGACTTTATTTCGATACTGATTGTTATTTGGATCATATAGATTTGGGCATTGCTCGTACAACTTGATCAGCCTTCGGATGCCTTCGGGTCCCCAGCGAATGTCCTTGGCCTGTATGATGTCGAGCACATTGTGGGGGGAGCAGCTCAGCAATGGATTGTAAGAGGAATTAGTGTCGCTTTCATAATCGTTCAAAAAGCTTGAACAACCGAAGTCCGAAGTCTCTGATTTTATCTCCTTTATGGGAAGAGAATAAATGGCTACATTTATAGACATTTTTGAACAAAACAAATGGCAAGCAATACTCACATCAGTCTGCTCGTTGGAACATTTAAGAAAGGGCTTGAGGAACCGTATGTATTGAACCCAGAAGGGCACTATTTTATCGCGTGTATTCGAGTAGTTCGCCTCCATCTTTAAGTGGGACAAGTATTGGCTCCTTAAAGTACTGAATTTATTTCTGATGTCTTCCGTGTCTATGGTGTCGTATATTTTTCTTAACTCTTTGACAATCTGCTGCAAAGACTTGGCCCGAGCCTGTTTGGATCGGTAGTCAGTGTGCTGGGGATCATACAAGTTGGGGCGATTCTCGTATAGCGTAATGAGCACTCTGATGGCCTCGGGGTGCCAACGTATCTTCTAAATATGTGCAGAAATAAACTTATTAAGATTTATAAATGATTTCAAATACTTGCCTTGGGCTTTTTGGTGTTTAGCGTATCGTTTGACTCCAACGAAGAATCACTTTCATTCTCATCATCCCTTAAAGAGTTGGGCAGCTCCTCCTCCACTTGGCAGACAGTTTCTGGTTTTATCTCAGTCTCGTGTATCTCTAAACAGCTTGCTGGCTCAATGTCAGCTTCTGGTTTTATCTCAGTGTGATTTGACTTTAGCGGAAGAGAATAAATGCAACATACGCGTACACAGATCGCGCGACATACTCACATCAGACTCTGAAGCTCTCTGACTTTCAGAAAACCTGAGATGTGGCTTGAGAAACTCAATGTATTTCACACAGAACGGCGCCATCCTCTCGTGCGTTTCCAAGCCACTTTTATGGTAGTTTGCCTCATTCTTCAAATGGACCAGATATTGGCTCCTCAATGTTCCAATCTTATTTTTGATGTCTGTCGTGTCTATGTTGTCGTATATTTTTCTCATTCCCTTCACGATCTGCCGCAATGCTTTGGCCCGGAATTGTTTGTTGCGGTACTGAGCATGCTTGGGGTCATACAAGTTTGGGCGCTTCTCGTACAGCTCAATTAGCATTTTGATGGCCTCTGGGCTCCAAATAATCTTCTAAAAACTCATTTGTTTATTGGCAATTGTTCAACGATAACAGCAAATACTTGCCTTGGGCCTAGTCATGTCCAGCTTATCGTTTGGCGATGTCCAGAGTGGGTCGAAAGAAGAACCAGCTTCACTTTCATCATTGCTCAAACAGTTTGGGACATCAGAGTCAGCTTCTGGTTTTATCTGTATATGATTGATAATAGAGTTGGAGCACACAAGAAGCCGAATTATACTCACATCCAAATCCACAGATTCCTTCATTTCGGGCGGCTTCAAAAACGGCCTAAGGAACTCCAAACACTGCACCCAATTTGGCTTTTCCATTCCATTTTTTATGTAGTTCTTCTCCTTTTTCAAATAACTTAAGTACTGGCTCCTCAGTGTGCAAATTTTAGTTTTGACATCTGTAGTCAGTATACAATCGTATATTTTCCTCATTTCCAGGACAATCTGCTGAAACGACTCGGCGCGGCAATCCTTGTTGAAGTACTGTTCGTGTTTCGCGTCATACAGGTGTGGCTGCTCCTTGTATAGCTTCATAAGCATTTTGATGGCATCAGGACTCCAATAAATCTTCTAAAAATGCAGGAAATCATTTAGTTTAAGCTCACAATAAGCCAAACATTTTGCAAATTACTTTGGTCCTCGGCATTGTTTACAAAAAATAGCGCAAAATAATACTGAAAGCGCATCCAAGTGCGCATCTATGGGAATGGCTGTATTTTACCGATGGTATACAAAACTTTTTATAAATATATTTTTCTGTTTGCCGGTGCTTTTATCTTGTCAAACCATTGTCAACCATTTGGATTGGCTGCTATAAAATACGAAGACACATTTGTAAACAAATCGACGGCATCTAATTTTTACAATGGACAAGTTCCTATTACGATAGTATCGATTGTTTTTTTTTAAAACGTTGATATTCCTCGATTTTGCTATTCCGTTTGATATTACTAGCTGGTTGGCCCTCTCAGCCCTAAAAAAAATAATAATAATAAATAATAAAGGGCCGCAAAGAAAAGTTGTCTTCTAATTATTTCCATAAAAAAGCTATGTTGTTATTAACAGTCCGGGGAGTGCTGTTAAGCGCACCCACTGCACGAATTTGACATTTCCGTACTTAGTGATGAGCGCATATCGATAGACCAAAACTAAATTGTCTTTTTTAAAACGTTGTGGCCGAAATAAGATGTTTATAGAAAGGATATGGTTTTAGTAAAACAACAAAACGACAATGCATTATAAAGACCACCCATAGACGCAACATATAAACTAAAAGAATGGAAATCCTACAGCACTTTGACAACCCAAAACTATCGATACACATATATACATTTTCCCATCCCTAACCGCGGAGCAACTGTCAAAATTCTTTCTTTTCGTTGTGTTTACGACGGTAGGTGGGTTTTCGTGATTAATTTGGTATTTGCCGAGCCATCCGTGCATATTATTGCAGATGAACAATGAAAATGAGTGCCGAATACAGCACTCCAGTTATCTGTGATATTATGCGGAATTTCCGAAATCGTTATACTGACCATTGCCCATGTTTTGTTTACAGCCCGCACAGCCAAGCAAAATGAAACTGAACAAGTTTGTGTCGTCGTCGCGCAGGAAGAACCGCAAGCGCCACTTCCAGGCCCCATCGCACATCCGCCGTCGTCTGATGTCCGCACCCCTCTCCAAGGAGCTGCGTCAGAAATACAATGTGCGCTCCATGCCCATTCGCCGCGACGATGAGGTTCAGGTGATCCGTGGCCACTTCAAGGGTAACCAGGTTGGCAAGGTTGTCCAGTCCTACCGCAAGAAGTTCGTGGTCTACATTGAGAAGATCCAGCGCGAGAACGCCAACGGCACCAACGTCTACGTGGGCATCCACCCCAGCAAGGTGCTGATTGTCAAGCTGAAGCTGGACAAGGACCGCAAGGCCATTCTGGAGCGTCGCGGCAAGGGACGTCTGGCTGCTCTGGGCAAGGACAAGGGCAAGTACACCGAGGAGACGGCCGCTCAGCCCATGGAGACAGCGTAAATGCCGGAAGCAGTAACGACCACATCTTAAACCCATGGGACGTCACTGTTTACAGTTTTTACCGTAACGGATAAGTTTATAAAACGAAGCAAACCAATTCGCGAAAAAAACCTTGTGTGGAGTGAAAGACCGCATTTCTTTAAAAATAAAGAATAGTTGATTTTTCAAAATGGACAAAGTACTACTTGATTTTTGGATTTTCCAGTTTTGTGTTCAGCAGAATATTTATATGACCATTTTTTTTTTTGCTCATTTTTTATTTGTTGGCTTTGCTAGGGATATTAGGATATTAGTTCTCCTCAGAGCCGTAGATAAGTGGCTCTTATTTGTTAAACACTTCAAACACACATCAGTTATGTACTCGGTGAAAGGAAAGGTTTGATCCTATACTGAATACCCAGGGGACATGAGAAGCATCGATGGGTTTAAGTTAATGGGCAAGAGGGCCTAGGAGAAACTGTAGTTGATCTTAAGAATACTTCTATAAGGAACGAAAAAAATTGGGCAATGAACCGGTCCAAGCTTTTGCGTTATAGTATGGGGAAGGGAACCATAACGAATCCAAAGGAGCCTGTGCAGCAAGCGGCACATATGACACATAAGAGTACGATGGTAAATGGTCCAGTCCCCTTGGCAGAGCCCACACAGGTAATGGAAATTAAGGCACGATATTTCACTTTATTCGAAGTACTTGTGGATTTGAAGATTACTACTCCAAATGCCTAGGAACAGGCGAATATAACTTCGTCGGTTGAGTTCATGTTTTTAGAAGCAAATTGTACATTATTTTGAGATTAAAAAACGGCTCATTAATTGTAAGAGCGTTTCGAACGCTGCTGATTGGCATTGTATGGTGTGGGACGATTTTCAGAACGGGACGTGGACTGGCCCGACTCCTCTTCATCACAGTAATCGCCGCGACGACGACGTTCCTCTTTAATGAATGCCTTGCGCTGGGCCGGGAACATTCCGTTCGGTTCGCGCACTATATTCGCCTGAGCGCAATATACCTGCGGATTATAGTCCTCAACCTTAATATCGTCCCAATTCTCGTCGGCTTCAATTTTCTCATGTCTTGTGTCGGCGCGCAGCACAGCTGGTTCGCTGGTTTGATACTGCACAATTATTTTGCGATCATCGCATGATTTGGTATGTTGCTGTGGAAGGAAAACGAGAAGTTCAGCTGTGTGTTTTATGTATCTCATACACAAATCTTAGCAGATTACTTACATGGAACTCTGGCTCTGGTACGAGATGCCCCTTGTTAAAAGGACACACAAGAAGTTCTACCGTGTCTTTGTAGAGCTCACGACATTTTATAATGTGCTGCTGATACTTTTTGCGTAGCATCACGTGCTCCTTGTTGTACGGGCAGGACACCATATCCCTTTCCTCGAGTCTGTGCATTTTTGGTAATAAATTTCGTTTTTGAGATCAAATTAAATTCAGTATTCAGCCTGGTAGAGGTGTCAAACCATCGATGGCACTATCGATAGTATCGATATTTTACTGATAGCCTCTACTATCGACGGTTTTGCGACTAGCATGATAGTATCGAGCTACAGTCGTTGCGCTTTTGATATGTTTGGATTGGCTGCTATAAAATACGAAGACACATTTGTAGACAAATCGACAGGTGGCATCTACTTTTTACAATGGACAAGTTCCTAAAAGGTTTCAATGGTTTTTTAATAATTATTTGATCCCGATACTATCACGATAGTATCGATTGTTTTTTCAAAACTTTCAACGTTGATATTCCTCGATTTTGATATTCCGTTTAATATTACTAGCTAGCTGGGACTCTCAGCCCTAAACAAATAATTTTATCCGATAGATACATAAATTTTCTACAAGATTGGCAAGTTTTCAGAAGTCCTTTTTATTGGATTATTTACATATTAAGGTTCAAACAAAATCAACATAAAACGAATGTGACGTCGTTCTGTGGCGCTGCCAGACTCGTGCAATTCGTAGTTGCTGCAATATCAATTTTTAATGGGATTGTTTAGATAATAGGGTTCAAACAAAAACGGCCAAAGCATCAAACGTAAATGTTTACTAAATGTGACGTCAGTGTTGCTGGTCAACCAAGTTTCTTCTATGCGTATGTACTTTTGTATACCTTATTTCTTTTAATTGGTGTTAAATGTTTTGTTACAAGCTCCATGAAGACATTATTTATGATATTATCCTAGATTGACATGTTTTTTACGTTTTAATGCACATATTTGTGTTTTATATATACATTTATCCCGGTTCTGATACCTATTATTGGAACCCGTGAGCTGCCATATAACGGCAGAAAACTATAATTTCGTATCAGTCAGCCTTTGTCAGAGAGCATTTACAATTTTTTTTACTTTCATATCAGTCAGCTCTTGTCAATGAGCAATATTTTGTTCAGTGGCGCCATTTGCGCTGAACTAGTGAACTACTACTACTGCCGCCGAACCAATCCGCGTGCTGAATGCGATGGAAATAGCCATTCGAACATTTTAATGACAGCGGCAAGTATTTGGCGTCGATATGCTTCCCGTCACAATGGAATTTCTGCGGTTACTATGGATTGGAAATTATTTACAAACGAATGCTAGCTAAATGGTAGAATATTGGAAGTGGAAGTGGTTTTTGTATTTGATAATAATAGCTACATTGGCTAATGAAAATGTAGTCTTATTTCAGAACATAAAAAACTTATTTTTAATAATTCGTTTACAAAATAAACGTTTCGGCTTTTTTTTCATTGCTTTTTAAAGGCGTCTCCGTCTTTTTTTTTTTTTTCTATTTTTGTCATATTTTGCTTTCTGGTATGATTCATAAAAATTTGGGGTTTGTCTGCCCTTTGATATCCATGTTCTTCTTATCTCACCCGGGAACAGTTTTATAAGTTCATCAAGCAGTTGGCTTGCTTGTGTTCCTGTCATTAATAACTCATTATTGGAATAATACTTCATTATTTCCCTTCTTATTGTTTTGCGGTCCTGGTCAGTAAGAGGTGTATTCTGTTTACGTTTGTTCAGAATTTTTATTTGGGAGGTTTTTATGAGTATTCCCAAAGTTGTTACAACAACGGATGTAGGTGGCACTGGGGAAATACTTTTACTTTTATTAAATTTAGTGTTATTGGCATCCCAATTGTCTTCTATTTCCGATTCTGTCTCAAAATTTAGCCGTGGCGGTACCTGCGTCTGTGATGCCGGTGATGCTGGTGATGGTGGCGATGGTGGTGATGGTGGCGATGCCGGGGATGGTGGGTATGGTGGGGATGGCGGGGATGCCGGTGATGCCGGTAATGGTGGTGATGGTGGCGATGGTGGTGATGGTGGCGATGGTGGTGATGGTGGGGATGGCGGGCATTGTGGCGATGTTGTTTTTTTTTCTTTTTTTGCTTTGTGGAGGGGAATCGGTAACCCACTCCCATGCTGGGATCTGACATAATATACAAGGAAATAAGCAAAGTAGTGAAGAGGATCGAATCCATGGACATGGGCAAAAATTTTTTGGCAATTATTTGCGATGGCTGCTGTGCCAACAACTTAGCCGTATGCTTTGTCGGAATGAAGTATCCTGTCTTGTTGGACATAACCCACCTGACAAAATTGTTCTCTGGAAACAAGATTTCACCATTCACCGATCGAATTCTTAAACAGCTGTACGCAACTTTTACCGTTGAAAACTGGAGGGAAATATTTCGTAACTTGCCAAGCTTGGACACAGTTCCCATGAAATTTCAAACGTTTTACCCGTCAGAACTGACGAATTTGGTGGAAAGATACTATTCATACCCTCGTGAAACTGGAATGGCATTGCAATTAAACAAGGCTAACTGTAACCATTTAGAGACAACTGGTTCAGTTATAAAAATACTTGCTGGCAATATTATAAATTTCGCATTTCACATGGGTGAAGAAACTGAATTTCAAGAGGATGCCCTACTTTATACCACCCGGCTTGTGGGAGCTCTGGCACATGAAATGTCTGAAAATAATATTTAAATATGAGAATCAATTCTTTTTCGTCCATTTTCCTGACGTCTTGCTTAATTCTGTTGATTTTCAAAAATTTGTGTATCTTTCTTTGTCATCAAACACCCAAATCCAAATTCAAGACGCACGTCTTCCAATGTAAACGCCTTTTCTGCTTCATTGCGTCTATGCCGATATCGATAGCAGACGCGCCCAGTGTAAAAAGGCTATTATTTTCGAACATAAAAAACTTATTTTTAATAATTTTTAATAATAATAATATCAGAACAATAGCTTCGTTGGCTTGTTTAAAATTTAGTGTTCTTAAAATATATTGTCATTGTTCTATGTCGTTGTTTTTGCAGTCGTTGCAAAATATATTCGTTTCGCTGGAAAAAAGTAAAATTAGATTGTATGTGAGTGGATGAAAGGTAAATACTTACAATATATCTTTGCTTAAAAAGCAGTAATAACAAATCAAAATGTTGCAGCTGAGGCACGCTCTGCTGCATTCAATGCATACATTTTCTTTTTTGCAGTCCTTGTATTTGCATGTGTCTCCATTGCAGCATATTGATTTTGTCGGAATTGCGTCAGTTTCGGTTTTTTTTTTTTCATTGCTTTTTAAAGGCGTCTCCGTCTTTTTTTTTTGTTTTCTGATTTTGTCATATTTCGCTTTCCGGTATGATTCATAAAAATTTGGGGTTTGTCTGCCCTTTGATATCCAACTTCCTCTTATTTCATTCGGGAAAAGTTTTATGATTTCGTCAAGCAGCTGGTTTGCTTGCGTTCTTGTCATTTGTAAATCATTTTTGCAAAAATATCTCATTATTACCAGCCTTATTGTACGGCGGTCCTGGTCTGTTAGCGGCGTATTCTGTTTTCGTTTCTTCAGAATTTTTATTTGGGAGGTTTTTATTAGAATTCCCATAGTTGTTAGAACAACGGATGTAGGTAGCACTGGCGAAACACTTTTACTTTTATTAAATTGATTGGTCTTTGCGTCCCAATTGTCGTCCATTTCGGACTCAGAGTCAAAATACAGGCGTCTTGCTGTTTGTGGCGTACGTACTCGTACCGGCGTCTCCTGTGATGACGATGACTGTGGTGGGGATGGTGGGGATGGCGGGGATGCCGGTGATGCCGGTGATGGTGGTGATGGTGGTGATGGTGGTGATGGTGGTGATGGTGGTGATGGTGGTGATGGTGGTGATGGTGGCGATGGTGGTGATGGTGGCGATGGCGTGTATGGCGGGGATGGCGGGCAGTGTGGCGATGTTGTTTTTTTTTCTTTTTTTGCTTTGTGGAGGGGAATCGGTATCCCACTCCCATACAGTGCTGCCAACTTTTCATCAGGAAAAAAGCCATTTCTGACTTGTACAAGACACAAAAAAAGCTGAAAAATTACAGAAAAAAGCCAAAAAAAAGCGTAATTTTTGGGTTTACCAATTTTTTTATTTCTGTAGTATTTTATAGGGTTTTTACTGTAAGACCGCCATTAATTCGTCTAACTCAGCGTAATTGTCTTCAGGCTCGCAATCGTACGACTTGGTCGTACCAATCAAGCGAAGATAATTTTTGGGCACATCATAATCGAAACCGCATTTTCCCAGTCTTCGTAGTTTTGTGACGCTGATATCTGTTGATTCGTCGAGTAAGAGACTGAATTTGGAGTCCCCAATATCGCTGCACAAGTCTTCGAAAAAATGACGCGCCAGAACATTCTAATACTCTCTGCACACTGAGTCCATCCTGGGGGAACGGTGGGAATTTTTGAAAGATGTGAAACACCGATTCACATTGACACCATCCACCATCCATGAGAAACAACTGTTGCTCACAATTGCGTGCGGTGAAAATTTGTTTACTTTAATTAAAATGAATATAAATAACATTTCAATGGTCGTGAATGTGATTCAGCAGCAAAACATATTCTTGCACAAGCTAATCATGTTGTTGGACATGGACGATGATGATGAGGATAGCTTTGACGAGGAGGAGATAATAGAATGGATATCTGTATTGAAAACACTGAAGCCCGGAAGGTTGTGGTCATTTGTGACTGCTTATACTAAATCCAATCAATGTTTTAAATAAAAATATAAATTATATGTGTGTTGAGAAGCGGTTTGGGACATTTTGGGAGAAAGATGTACCCAAAAACAACGAGGCGTTTTTAAAGCTAAGTTATGTACAGCCGTATACTTTGGGCTCTTTGTTTTGAGTAAAGAATAGTCGGAAGGCTGTCAGCCTATAGCGTGTGCAATATCCTGCTTGAGTTTTGCAGAGCATTTATAAATGAGAGGATTCCAGAGGATAGTCCACAAACAGAGTTGTGTATCTGAGACAATTTTGACATATCAGATGTTTTTTTGTTGTTTTTTTTTACCATTTTCCTGTCTGTCATTGTTTACATTTTCGTAGTGAATTCCGATTTTTTGTTGTGAATGTCAAATATTTATTGTTGCATTTGACAATTATCGAAAAAATACCGCACTGAAACGTGAGAATTAGGAACAT